TCAATTCAACATAATCCTTGAAACTCTAGACAGAGCAATTAAACAGATGAAGGATATTAAAGGGATACAAATGGGGAAAGAAGAACTCAAACTATCATTATTTGCTGACAACACGATTCTATACTTAGAGGATCCAAAAAACTCCACCAGAAATCTTCTAAAATTAATGAATTCAGCAAAGTAGGCAGGATATAAAATCAATACCTATAAATCAAATGCATTTCTATACATTTGTGGATGAATCCTCTGAAAGAAAAATCCTCTGAAAACTACCCCATTCACAATAGCCTTAAAAAAAAAAATTAGGGGCTGGGATTATGGCTCAGTGGTAGAGTGCTTGCCTCACATGTGTGAGGCTCTGGGGTCAATTCTCAGCACCACATGTAAATAAATGAATAAAATAAAGGTCCATCAACACTAAAAATTTTTTTAAAAATTGGGGAATCAACTTAACAAAAAAGGTGAAAGACCTCTATAATGAAAACTGCAGAACACTAAAGAAAGATTTTGAAGAAGACCTTAGAAATGGAAAAATCTCCCATGCTCTTGGATAGGTAAAATTAATATTATCAAAATGGCCATACTACCCAAAGTGCTATACAGATTCAATGCGATTCCAATTAAAATCCCAATGTCATTCCTTATAGAAATAGAAAAAGCAATCATGAAATTCATTTGGAAAAATAAGAGACCCAGAATAGACAAAGCAATCCTTAGCAAGAAGAGTGAAGCAGGAGGCATCATAATACCAGACCTTAAACTATACTACAAAGCTATAGTAACAAAATGGCATGGTATTGGCACCAAAATAGACATGTAGACCAATGGTACATAATAGAAGACACAGAGTCATACCCACATAAATACAGATATCTCCATATCTCATACTAGATAAAGGCACCAAAAAATGTTAATCCCAAAAGAAATGTTAATGAACAGCTGCAGCAGATTTGAAGATAGCCCATTCCAAAGAAGTGTTAATGAGGGGCTGGGGATGTGGCTCATGCAGTAGCACTCTTGCCTGGCATGCATAAGTAAACTGGAGGCTACAAAAGAGATTCTTAGGCAGGAATGCCTGATAACTATCAAAAGGAACTGCCAGAGTAGAGCTATTTCTAACCTACACTGGTAGGCTTAGTGTTTGCTAGAATGGTTATCCAGCCCTAAGTAACAGAATTAAAGATTTCTCTATTAGACATAGAGGTCATACTAGTAAAAGAATTTTGCAAGATCAGATGACATTAAATTATTAAACTGTATCTCAAGGGGAAGGACATCTGTAACCCTAAAAGTTAAATGTTGTGTTTACATCCCTGACAATTCTGGCAATGTGACAAATATCCTTAAAGATTGACATGCTCAGATAGAAGCCATGTCCTCACCAACTTTGTCATGGGAACAATATCTTAGCTCCTGATTCTCTGGTACTGTTATGCTCGAATTCGGGACCCCAAAAAGACCACCAGAGACCAAGATCAATGTAAGCAGCAAAGAGGTATTTATTGCGAGCTAGCTCGGTCCTCCGCATGCACACACAGCAACTGTTGACACTAAGAGGCCCTGAGCCCAGGGTTTGCAGCAGTTTTATTCATTCTTTGGAGAAGGCAGGGACTTCACATACATCATAGCATCTCTTAGCAAATCATCACACACCACAGGAAAATCAAATAACAACTCTAAAACATGATTAGCACATTCACTGGTGGGAACAAGTTGGGTAGGGGTGATTGGTCAGTACAAAAGGGGTATTCATTTGAATTGATTGTTTAAGCCAAGAGGGGTGTACAGTGATGCACTATATGGTTTCCCAACATGTTATCAATCACCATAAACTACTGGGAGGGTCATCTGGCATCCCAGGTATTTCCCTGTCTCATGCTGATTGGTGGCTGCTAGAGGGTTGCTATGGATCCCCACCTAGCCTGACTGAGTCAGGGACACCTGGCACAGCAGATCTCTCCTGTTATTTGTAGATAAACAACTTAGCAGGGTGGGAATGTGCCTAGGAGTGCTCTGTGGGTCTTTCCAAGGACAAAGGTGATGTCCCTTCCATGGACAGGCTTTGCTTTGAGGCAGAGGCTGGTTTTTCATTACTAGAAATGTTGAACATTTTTTCATATATTTGTTGATAGAATGCATATCTTCTTCTGATAAGTTTCTATTCAGCTCCTTAACCCATTTATTGATTTGGTTGTTTTTTTTTTTTTTTTTTTTGGTGTTAAGTTTTTTGGATTCTTTATATATCATGGAGATTAGTGTTCTATGTGACTTGTGTGTGGCAAAAATTTGCTCCCCAAATGTAGGCTGTGTTTTTTTGTTGTTGTTGTTTTGTTTTTTGCTGAGAAGAATCTTTTTAGTTTGAGTACATCCCATTTATCAATTCTTGATTTTTTTTCTTGTGCTTTAGGAGTCTTGTTAAGGGAGTTGGGGCCTAATCTGACGTGATGAAGATTTGGGCCTACTTTTTCCTATATTAGGTGCAGGGTCTCCTAGGTCCTTGATCCACTTTGAGTTGAGTTTTGTGCATGGTGATGTTACCACTGTTGCTTCCCTAGTATTGAAGTATAACACCAGAGAAGCACGCCGAGGCAAGTTTAGAGTGGAAATAGAAGTTTATTAAAGGATAGCAGAAAAGACTTCTCCAGGAGGAAGAAGGGGACCCAAGAGGTTGAATCCATGGAAATGCAGTTGTTTCCCCTTTTTATAGTTCTTTTAGTGGTGGAATGTAGGTGGGAAGGCCCGAGGGGTGGGAAACAGGTGGGTCAAAGAAGTAATCTGGGCAGGAAGGACTTCATTAACACTTCTTTGGGATAGTCTATCTTCAAATCTGCTGGGGCTGTTCATTAACATTTCTTTGGGATGGACTTTGGGCCTAGGGCTTTTCTCCGGACTTCATTAACATTTCAAGAGTTGTCCTGCATTTCTCAGCAATTCATTCTCAGCATGCCCTCCAGGTACATTCCCACCCTGCTAAGTTGTTTATCTACAAATAACAGGAGAGATCCCTGTGCCAGGTGTCCCTGACTCAGTCAGGCTAGGTGGGGATCCATAGCAACCCCCTAGCAGCCACCAATCAGCATGAGACAGGGAAATACCTGGGATGCCAGATGACCCTTCCAGTAGTTTATGGTGGTTGATAACGTGTTGGGAAACCATGTAGTTCAGCATGTACACCCCTCTTGGCTTAAACCAATCAGTTCAAATAAATCCCCCTCTTGTAGTAACCAATCACCTCTACCCAACTTGTTCCCACTAGTGAATGTGCTAATCATGTTTTAGAGTTGTTATTTGATTTTCCCGCGGTGTGTGATGATTTGCTAAGAGATGCTATGATGTATGTGAAGTCCCTGCCTTCCCCAAAGAGTGTATAAAACTGCTGTAAACCCTGGGCTCGGGCTTCTCAGCGTCACCAGTTGCTGTGTGTGCACGCAGAGGACCAAGCTAGCTCTCAATAAACACCTCTTTGCTGTTTACATCGATCTTGGTCTCTGGTGGTCTTTTGGGGGGTCCCGAATTCGAGCATAACAGTAATTAGAGAAATGCAAATCAAAACTACTCTAAGATTTCATCTCACACCAATCAGAATGGCAGTTATCAAGAATACAGACAACAATAAATGTTGGTGAGGATGTGAGGGAAAGGCATACTCATACATTGCTGGTTGGACTGCAAATTGGTGCAACCACTCTGGAAAGCAGTATGGAGATTCCATAGAAAACTTGGAATGGAACCACCATTTGACCCAGCTATACCACTCCTTGGTCTATATCCAAAGGACTTAAAATCACCATACTATAGTAACACAGCCACATTAATGTTCATAACAACTCAATTTACCATAGCTAAACTGTGGAAGCAACCTAAATGCCCTTCAATAGATGAATGGATAAACAAACTGTGAGAAAGATAGATAGATAGATAGATCTATGTATATATATATATATATAAAGGATAAAAGAAACTGAAGTTAAAGACCAGGCATTGTAAAGCTTCTAAGCTGCAAAGCCTGAGTTAAAATGTAAAAGACCAGGTATTGTTAAGTTCCTATGCTACACTCAAAACCTGAAATTCCTGTAGCTGTTAGGACAATTCACGGGACTGCCCAGTAGATATTCCCCCTGACCATTTAGTTGTTAAATAACCTGGGCCCTGTGCAGTTTGGCACGTAGGCATTCAGGGCCCAAACCAATCAGTTTGAATATAACCCCCTTCTTAGGACTGACCTATCACCCCCACCCGACCTGTTCCTGCCAATGGATGTACTAATCATGTTTAAGAATTGTTGTTTGATTCTCCCGCGGTGTATGGTGATTTGTTAAAGGAGACTGTGATGTATGTAAAGTCCCTGCCCTCCCTAAAAAGAGTGTACTTAAACACTGCTCAACCCCTGCTCAGGGCTCTGGGCTGCTCTCCCTCCTTGAGTGAGCACAGAGCCCCAGCATGCTGGATCTGCAATAAACCCCCTTTTGCTGTTGCATGAGTCAGTCTCTTGGTGGTCTCTTCCTCCGCATTCACCGGTCCCTTACAATATATGTATGTATGTACACACATATGCATACACACAAAGGAATATTACTCAGCATTAAAACAATCAAATAATTATGGTATTTGCAGGTAAATGGATGGAGTTGGAGAATATCATGCTAAATGAAGTAAATCAATCCCAACAACCAAAGGTCAAATGTTCTCTCTGATAAGTAGATGCTGATACAGAATGGGAGGAGGACATGGGAAGAATGGAGGAACTTTGGGCAAAGGAGAGAGAGGGAAGGGATGGAACATGGGGGCAGGAAAGATGGTGGAATGAGATGGACATCATTTCCCTAGGTACATGTGTGACTGGACTTATGCTGTGACACTACAATGTGTACAACCAGAGAAATGAAGAGTTTTGCTGCAATTGTGTATAATAAATCAAAATGCATTCTGCTGTCATTTTTACCTAATTAAAATAAATTAATTTTAAAAAAGAAAGATTGAAAAAACATTTTGAAGCTGCTCTAATATTTAGTAAAATAGTAAATTATTTTGAAAGATTTAAAAGGCCAACTTACCCTTTCTGTAAGAATTATAACCAGTGAAAGTGCAGAATTCATGAACTCATAAACATTAATTTGAAATATGTATTTCAGAATCTGAAACTCAGTAGCATTTTCTGTGGAGTTATAAATAAATATATTAATATTTGACATATAACTGCTGATCCTAATTTGTTCCTTAACTGAGAAATTAGAAAACAATAACCTGTTTCTTACCATTTAGAGGAATGTAATTTTGAGAAGACAAAGAGCTATCAGTTAAAACCATCTGGCTGTTTAACAGGGGATTTTCCATGGATCTGTCTATTTCCACCTGAGCAGATCCTTCAAAGTCCACTGATGGTTTTGATTTTTCATCATTTTTGGATGAGGTTTCAAAAAATACTTCTTCATGAATTTTCATAGGTAACTTTATTTGAGCGATCATATCTGCAAACAAATACAAAGAAATGTCTTTTTAGAAATACCTACATTGTTGTGGGCTTCCCTTTTATTTTCTAGGAGGTCATTCTTTGAACCTTTGTGATCATTGTGACAATTTGTTTGATAAATAATGCATTAAAACATAAATTTGTAGTCTGTATATTAATGCCTGTTGCTGATGTAACAAACTATCACAAACTTGGTGGCTTAAGTAATACAAATTTTCTCTCTCAGAGTACAAAAGGTCAGAAGGTATTGGCAGGGCTGCATTCTTCCAGAAGCTCTAAAAGAGAATCATTTTCCTTGCGTTTTCTGTCTTCTAGATGCCTCCAGCATTCCTTTGTTCACAGCACCATTCACTTTCAAAGCCAGCAGAATCCATCCTCTAACCTGTCTCTCTTATTTTGACCCTCCTGCCTCATTCTTGTGATTATTTTGGGCCCATAAAATATAATCTCTCCATCCCAGATCCTTAGGCACATCTCCAAAGTCACAGTGCCCAGAGGTTAAAACTTTGACACATTTGAGAAACTTTGACACATTTGAGGCACCTTTATTCAATCTACTGTACAGCCTTTCCTTTATTCCTTGTGTCCAAGGAAGAATCACAAAAACTGTATGCAATTCTATTTCTACATTGCCTTTAATCCTAAAAAGTATGTTAAAAAAAAAACCTAAAACTAACATAACTGTCAACACTCTGTGGAACCATATAAGCTTATGGTTAAGAATAAGATAATACATAGTCCCCTTAGGATTTCATTCCTGTTAGATACATTTATCATCCAAGAAGGTATAATATCTAGATACCATTGCAAAAATACATATTTCTGCCTTTCAAGAAAATCAATGAGAAATATTTTTTCTTATTTTAGCTGTTAAAGAATCAAAATGACCAAAATTATTTATAGTATCTACAGCTACTTTATGTTGACACTCAACTTTTTCTTTTTGGTGGGGAGTACTTGAGATTTAACCCAGGGGCCCTTTACCACTGAGCTATATTCAACCCTTTTTATTTTTTATTTTGAGGCAGGATCTCACTAAATTGCTTAGGGCCTTGCTAAATTGTTGAGGCTAATTTGAAACTTGTGATCATCCTACCTTAGCTTCCCAAATTGCTGGGATTATAGGCATATGCCAACATACCCAGGTTTTTAACAGCTTTTTAAATCCCACAATCAAATATATCTCCTATTTTTTGTTTGTTTCTTTGTTTTTACAAAAAGCAGGTAAATCTGCACTATTAGATAAAAATCCATGTTATCCAAATGATAAAATAATTATTACTTAAGGGAAAATACTGCAATTAAACAATGCTTATACAGGATTAAATAAAATAATCCTGACTTTTATGCTTTTATGCTACAAATTACATCTTTAAATGAACTATAATATGCCTGAATTCAACTTTAGAATACTTATTCATATCTCTCAACCTTCATTTAAAAAGTATTACCTTTCCCAAAATCACTTTTAAAATTTCAAATTTGACCCATCTCTAGATCAAAAGTTGCCATGTTTGTAATATTGTATCATATAATTTTGTCTATGTCAGTTCAAAATAACCATCAATTTACTTTTTAAAAGTTCAATTTGACCTGATGCTGTGTTTGTGGCACACACCTATAATCCCAGCAACTTGGAAGGGTGAGGCAGAAATATTACAAGTTTTAGATGAGCCTGGGCAACTTAGTGAGCTCCTGTCTCAAAATAAAATCTAAAAAGGGATGAGGGGTAACACCATGGTAAATGTTCCCAGGTTCAATCCCCACTGCTGCAAAATTGAATTAAAAAAAGAAAAAAAAAGGAAAGAAAAGATAATCCATTAAATTTTCAAATGTAGTTTAATCTGATCACTTGATTGAATTGAGTATAATGAAACAAGTTGTGTATGGGTTTCAGTTCTAATAGCCCTATTCGAAGTATAGATTTCAAGTGATCTGTGAAATCTACTTCTCAGTTACTTTGACTTTTTAAGACAAGGATTAAAAAAAGAAGTATCAGTATAGGCTTGAAAGCAACATTAAGTAGTAAATGAATATTCCATATCTAATTCTGGTCTTTGAGTTAACAAATATATAAATATAAATATATAAATATATATATATATATATATATAAATATATATAAATATATATATAACAAATATATATATAACTACTATATATATGTATACATATAGTAGTTGGACAGAATACCTTTATTTACTTATTCATTTTTATGTAGTGCTGAGGATGGAACCCAGGGTGCTAGGTGCTAGGCAAGCACTCTACCACTGAGCCACAACCTCAGCCCTCCCTTAATAATTCTTAACAATACTTTGATGCTGTCACTTATTTAGCATTGTTTAATAAAAGATGAAAGTCCCAAATGAAGAAACACATATCAGTCATTTAATAATATCACCTGTGGAAGTTAGCAGTAAAGAACAATTAAGCCAATACTTTTATTTGTTTGATTTATGTTTTGACTTTGTTGTTGTTTATGGTGCTAGGTATTGAACCTAGGGTCTCCTGAGGGCTCCTAGTTGTATCACTGAACCACAACCCCAACCCTTTTCTTCCTCTTTTTTTTTTTTTTTTTGAGATGGAAGCTTGTTAAATTGCTGAGGCTGGCCTTGAATTTACAATCCTCCTGCCTTTGCCTCTGGAGTAGCTAGGATGATAGACATGTGCCATTGTTATGGTTTGGATGTGAGGTGTCCCCCAAAAGCTCACATGTGAGATAATACAAGAAGGTTCAGAGTAGAAATTATTGGGTTGTAAGAGTCTGATTTAATCCTCTGATAGGAATTAACTGAATGGTAACCGAGGTGATAGCATGTGGCTATGGGGTATATATTTTGTATCTTGAGAGTGGAGACTCTCTGCTTCCTGATGAAATAAGCTGCTTCCCTCTGCCACTCTCTCCCACCATGATGTTCAGCCTCTAGGAATGGAGCCGTCTTTCCAAGGACTAAGACCTCTGAAACTACAAGCCCTCAAATAAACTTTTGTCCTCTATAATTGTGCTGGTCAGGTCCTTTAGTCATAGCAGCAAAAAGCTGACTAAAACAGCCACCATGCCTGGCTCAAACCCAGGGCATTTTGTTTTGTTTTGTTTGAGTGGGCATCTTGCTCTGTTCAGGCTGGTCTCAAACTCCTGGACTTAAGGCACCCTCTTACCTCAGCCTGGAAAATGCTATGACTGCAGCAACCAAAGTCGGGAGTCTGAATATCCTAAAATTGTTGTAAATACAGGGATCAAAATAGCGATCTTCAACAATACTTAAAGACTTTAGGAAGCTGGGTGCAGTGGCGTTCACCTATAATCCCAGGGACTCAGGAGGCTGAGGCCAGAGGATTACAAAATGAAACCCAGCCTCTTCAATTTAGCAAGGCCCTAAGGACTTAGTGAGACCCTGTCTCAAAATAAGGCTGGGGATATAATTCAGTTGGTAGAGTGCTTGCCTGGTATGAACAAGGCCCTGGGTTCAATCCTCAGAACCATAAAAAAATAAAACATTTTTAAAAAGGCTATGGATGTGGCTCGGTGGTTAAATGTACCTGGGTTCAATCCCCAGTAAAATTTAAAATTTTTTTTTTTTTAAATTAGGGAAAAAGGACTATTTATATTCAAATTTATATGAGTCTATATTGATTTTTTCAAAATACTGTTTTTTTTAAAGAAAGAGGGGAGAGAGGGAGAGAATTTTTTTAATATTTATTTTTCAGTTCTCGGCAGACACAACATCTTTGTTTGTGTGTGGTGCTGAGGATCGAACCCGGGCCGCACACATGGCAGGCGAGCGCGATACCGCTTGAGCCACATCCCCAGCCCCATCAAAATACTGTTTTAAACTGCATTTGAAATAAATATAAAGAAAAATGGATACTTCTTATAGCATTTTTATATTTAATTATAATTTTGAGATATAATTTTTCATAACTTAAACTGACTTTAAAATATACATTAGATACAGACATGCAATTTCCTTATAATTCGTGGCACAATTTTAAATCAAACAAAATGATTTTTTAAAAATATATTTTAGTTGTAGGTGGACACAATAACTTTATTTTATTTTTATGAGATGCTGAGAATCGAACCCAGTGCCTCAGGTGTGCTAGGCGAGTGCTCTACCACTGAACCACAACCCCAGCCCCCAAAATAATATTTTTTGATATTTGACAGTTCTTTGAAATGAACTCAGTTGGAGTCCCTTTGTAAAATAGGCATTAATGTTGTAATACAAAAAAATTCCCTGCTTTCTCTTATAAATATCTATACCAGCATAGTGTTTCTGTAAATACCATTATCTCAAGTCTCTGCCTTTCAAAAATATTGATTTAGGATCTGATTCCATTTTCTTATGCAATTTTTCCAATTAAAGCAAGTTTCAGGGCTGGGGATGTGGCTCAGGAGGTAGCGCGCTCGCCTGGAACGCGTGCGGCCTGGGTTCCATCCTCAGCACCACATACAAACAAAGATGTTGTGTCCGCCGAGAACTAAAAAATAAATATTAAAAAATTCTCTCTCTCTCTCTTAAAAAATAAAAAAAAATAAAAAATGAGTATAAATAAGCAAAAATCTTCATTTATCAGAACAGGAAGTCAAAAGACTTTGTATAAAATAGATTAATAAAAACAGAATAATAAAAAGATTATATTTAGAAAACTAAAGAAAAATACTAAAAAGATTTGATTTTCAAAACATCAAAAGCAAATTATTGGGGCTGGTATTGTGGCTCAGCGGTGGAGCGCTCATCTAGCACATGCAAGGCCCTGGGTTCAATCCTCAGCACCACATAAAAATAAATAAATAAAATAAAAGTATTGTTTCCAACCACTTCCAAAAAAAATGTTTAAAAAAAACAAAAACAAATTATTTTTTCTGGGACAGAGGTGGGATTGGAATAGAAGCAATAGAAATTGCTTTTTTTTTTTTTTTTTTCATCTTACAAATAATTTCACTTCTTTTAAGGCTCAATTTGTCTTATTTATTACTTGGACCCTTACGTTATATTGTGCTCCACAGAATCTCAGTTCTAAGATTTTCAATGAGCCTAAGAGAACAATCAAAGCAAACTTTTCACTGGAATCCTGTTCCTATACAAATTTCCATATGCCTTTAGGACACCCAGTTCTTGTATCAGGAAAAAGCACTCAAATTGATCTTGCAGACAAACAAATGTGAAGGAACAGCTCCTTCTGAGATGGAGATTTGCAATTGTCCTGGCTCCAAGGATCTAAAGTTGCCTTAAGGTGGCAAAGGATAAAGGGCAGAAGGAGGATCTTGGTAGAGAGGAGGAGGACTGATCAGGTAGATGCTCCCTTTCTGACTTTTGATCTCAATTTATGAGATCTGAGGGGAAAGGTCAGAAGCTAACCCATAGTACACAAATCGCTTTGGAGGCCCATGTACTGTGGGTTATCTCCCGGTAGACAGAAACCCAGCTTCCTGGGATGACCAGAAACACAACAGTTTTGATTCCTTCAAGGGGTTTAGGGTCATGGAGAATCATCTGGTGAGAGCTGGAGTCAGAGAGAACCTGATATAACTGCCCCATTGTGACAACAACAGAATGGCTTATGAACACATGTAAAGCCTCCTTTTGGAACTCCTCAAAAGATCTGAGGACCCCCATAGCACTTGGAGAGTTCAGGAAAGAAGAATACGAAATAAATTGCTTTTAAAAAATGGCTTAGTGCTATTTAAAAATTTAAACCTATTTACATATATCAATTTGATAATAAAGTTTCTGTAAAATACCTTAGGATCTTCTTAGAACATCAATATTTCTCCAGTTATTCTTTTTCCCATGGGATTTTGCCTTATAAGATTATAATCTAAGTTCCACAGTAAACTAGAAATTTATAAAAGAGTGGTTGGTGCTAATTATTGAATATTTTGAACAACATGGTTTCCTGGACTGTTTTTTTATCCAATTTGTACTTAAATAAATTGTGGGGCTGGGATTATGGCTCAGTGGTAGAGTGCATGCTTAGCATGTGTGAGGCCCTGGGTTCGATCCTCAGCACCACATAAAAGTAAATAAATAAAATAAAGGTTTTCTGACCAACTACAATTAAAAAATAAATGTTGAAAAAAATTATGTCGGGGGGGCTGGGGATGTGGCTCAAGCGGTAGCGCACTCGCCTGGCATGGGTGTGGCCCGGGTTCGATCCTCAGCACCACATACAAACAAAGATGTTGTGTCTGCCGAAAACTGAAACATAAATATTAAAAAATTCTCTCTCTCTTTAAAAAACATTAAAAAAAAAAAAGAAAGAAATTATGTCGGGCTGGGATTGTGGCTCAGTGATAGAGTGCTTGCCTAGCACATGTAAGTCACTGGATCCGATCCTCAGCAACATATAAAAATAAATAAAATTAAGGTACTGTGCCCATCTACAACTAAAAAAATTAAAATAAAAAAATTATGTTAATGAATAAATTATAAATATCTTCATACCAACCTGATTGATAATATCTGTTTTTCAACATTGTGAGATCTTTCATATTATCTCTAGGATCATTTTCTCCAGAAAATTCTTCTCTTTCATTATTTTCAACCATATTACTTTGATCCAGTATCTGTTTGGGAAATGGCAACTCTGTTTCCTTTGGAATGTTCTGGAAGCTCCAAGGGTTATCAAAATTATAGAATAACTTTGTAAAATATGCTATGGTGTAAGAATCATCTGTTTTCTCTAAGACTTTTTCCTTATCTATTTGATCCTCTGTTTCCATAGTTTTTATCATTTTTATTTCCTGTTCATTATCGTGGTCAGATTTACTTGTAAATTCACCACCAAACCAACCATTGGCTTGGGGTTTGAGTACATGCTCTGACTCCAGTGCTAGTGCCAACTGTTCCTTTGGTACTGAATCAAATTCTGATTCAGGTTCTCGCTTATGTTCAGTTCGGGGCTCACCATTATTTAATTCCTCTAGGTTATTTTCATCTCCCACTGTTATTTTTCTACTTTGAAATGAGCTTCCTTGCACAGGTTCAATGACTGATTCAAGAGGCTTTTCTTCACCATGTTCCTTTCTCAGTCCAAACCATCCTTGTACTTCAGTTAAGGGTGATGAGATATGATCCACTTCTGGAACGTGATCCTGTTTCACACTTCCAGTTTTGGCTTCTTCCCAGTCATTTCTAATATCTTCAGAAGACTCTGATGTGGGAAATTGGCCTTCAGAAATTGCATAAAATTCAGATTCTATCTGGAAATCACTTCCATATATACTATATTTTTGCTCTTCTTCATATGGATACATATTTTCACCACTGTGACTGTTAAACTCCCTATCTTTATTTTCAAATATGTAACTTACTCCAAGGAGACAAAGAAAGTCAGATTCCTAAAAGAAAAAAAAAATTGCATTTCACATAAATGTACTAAAGCTCCTCATTCTCTCTGTACCATTTAAAAAGGATGACTATGATTTTCCCAAGACAAAACAATAAGCTCAACTTCAGAGCAAAAACTAAAATCAGATCTTCTAATCTCAAACACATCACAACTGACTTCTAAAGGTTAATAATATAAACCTAAATGAAGATCCAGTTTTTTCTTTCTTTTCTCTTTTTATAATGAAAATTCTTTTACATTACAGTTTCTGAATTATTAAATAGTTGAGAAGAAGAGAGAATCATGCTTCAAGTATATTCTATAAATAAGCTCTTGAAGAAAAGGCATGCAGATTCACAAAATATTGCACATCTGAAGATTATACTGAGAGGATACATGTGTCTGTGTGGTGATATGAGAGACTGCTATGGTTTAAATGTATTCACCAAAAAGCCTGTGGTGGAAATTTAATTCTCAATGCAACAGTGTTAGGAGATGGGACCAAAGGAGAAGTAATTAGACCATGAGAGCAGAGAGAATGGATAAATTTTGCTATGGTAGGAGTGTATTCATCCTACCATGTATCCCAGGAGTGACTTCCTTCTCTGAAGTATGAACTCAACCCCTTCTTGCTCTCTCATGTCCTCTCTCATCCTCTCACCTGCCACCATGGAACGATGCAGAAAGAAAACCCTCACCAGATGCGGGTCTCTTGATATTGGACTTCCTCCTGGTTTTTAGAACTGTGAAAAATAAATTTCTTCCCTTTAAAAGTTTCCCAGTCTCAGGCTGGGGTTGTGGCTCAGTGGTAGAGTGCTTGCCTAGCATGTGTGAGGCACTGGGTTCGATCCTCAGCACCAAATAAAAATAAATATATTAAATAAAGGTACTGTGTTCATCTATAACTAAAAAAAAATTTTTTTTAAAGTTTCCCAATCTCTGGTATTCTGGTACAGCAGCAAGAACAGACAAGACAGTAGGGAATTTTACTACGTATTATCACAGCTTAGATAGACCTGTGATGCTGAAGTATGAAGCCCTGGTTAAAAGCTGTACTAAAACATTCAGATGTCCTTATTCGGCTTTTACATATAACCAATGACAGTGAGGCTTTATTTGCTTATCTCACAGAGCAACAAAATCATAAAGAAAAAAAAATTAAGAAGTCACTTTTTAAAAACCTGAAATTTAGAAATAGTGGTGTGGGCTCCTCTTTGGCTATTACCATTATAAAATGAGGATAAAGTTTAGATTTTTGAGGAAAAAACTTCAGAATTGCAATTTTATAATATATGTTTGACACTACAGAATAGTAGGTGACTAAGAACAGACATTGGATCTTGTCATCTATTAGCTCTGTGACCTTGGATGAATTATATGACCTTTTTATGCCTCCTTCTCCTGATCTGTAAGATGGGAACAATGATAGTCCTCTTCCTTTTAAGTATTAAATGAGTCAAGTGTTTCGAATAGTAACTGTCTCCAGTACATATTAGCCTCACCCAGCTCAAAGTTAAACTATTCCAGAAAAAGTTACTTCTGCTGCAGTATTATAAGGGTAGATGGCCCAACGCTCTTATTTATGTTCAGGATAACTCTAACCTCAGAGCTCCTTATGGAATCCAAGGCTACCTTTATTTTAACTGCATGACTTTTCAGCTTCTGTCAGCCCAATCCTGTTTTCCTTTTGTTGCCTTACAAGTACTGTGCACAACGGTACTCCTCAGAAAACATGCCTCAGTGTCTGTTTCCTAAGGAATTTGATACAAGAATCTGGGTGAGGTGGGCATATTAGTGGGTGCCTGTAATCTGGCTATTCAGGAGGCTGAGAAAAAGGGATTAGGAGTTCAAGACCAGCCTGGGCAACACAGCAAGGTCACAATCTCAACAAAACAAAAGAATCCAGGCCCTTTTCTTTTATTATGCTACCATGCTAGATGTTAGGGTTCTACAGTAAGCAATTAAAAAAAAAAAAAGGTAGTTGTAAATTGCAATTAGTGCCATGAAAGAAAATCACATTAATGAAGCCAAAATTAGATAGGCAGAAAGGCAAGGGTTGGATCCAGAGAATGAAGAATTGAGATGTTAATTCCTTCAGAGTCCTTTCTCCACCTTTATTATCAGGATAACCTGCCCTTGCTCCAACCTGTTGCTAAGGTAACCTGTCCCTCCCTACAGGGAGTTGTTAATTATGCCCCCTTCCTGCCCAGATCACTCCAACCCATCTGCTTTCCACCTTTTGGCCATCCCACTGAGCATCTCCTGGGCCTAGTCAAGAAGGAGAGAGATAAGGGGAAGAGAGCAGGAGAACAACAGCCTAAAACCTATAAAAAAGGCAGAACACTTTTCACTTCTTGGGATACCAGGATACCAGCTATGGCCCCCTTCTCCTTCCTGGGAGAAGTCTATGTTAACCCCTTTTTAAATAAACTCTGTTTCATATGCTTGCCTCGGCATGCTTCTCTAATATTACACTTCAACATGTGAGGGAACAGAACTTGTCACGATAACGATAACCGGTGGTATCATTAAGAAGCAAAAATTCCTGTAATCCCAGTGGATTGGGAGGCGGAGGCAGGAGGATCAGGAGTTCAAAGCCTGTCTCAGCAATTTAGCAAGACCCTGTCTCTAAATAAAATATAAAAAGATCCAGGGATGGTTAAGCAGGTTTGATGCCCATTATTAAAAAAATAAATAAATAAATAAATAAAGCACTTAAGGAATAATTCCTTTAGAATCATGGAAAGCCTCTCTGAAGATTTTGTTGTTGTTTGTTTTTCTTTGTAAACTCAGCATACTTTTTCCCCCCAGCTGTATGGAAGACTATCAAAAAGTTGCACAGAATTACCTTATGTATTTTTCTGGGTTGGAACAAATGAATATACTGTTGTTACCATCACAATCCAGGTATGTGCCTATTATCCTAAAAGTTTTCTGGGAGGCAGAAAACTTTTTTAAAAAAAATATTTAATTGATTTTATTTTTAAAATACATGACAGTGGAATGCATTATAATTCTTTTTTTTTTTAATTTGTATTGTGTTATATAATACAATGCAAGTGAAATGCATTGTATTACGTCTGTATTAGCTCTTTTTTTTCTTTTTTTTTTTTTAGAGAGGGAGAGAGAGAGAGAGAGAGAGAGAGAGAGAATTTCTAATATTTATTTTTTAGTTTTCGGCGGACACAACATCTTTGTTTGTATGTGGTGCTGAGGATCGAACCCGGGCCGCACGCATGCCAGGCGAGCGCGCTACTGCTTGAGCCACATCCCCAGCCCCCATTATAATTCTTATTACACATTAGAGCACAATTTTTCATATCTCTGGTTGTATATAAAGTATGTTCACACCAATTCATGTCTTCATACATGCACTTTGGATAATGATGTCTATCACATTCCACCATCATTGCTAACCCCCTACTCCCTTCCCTTTTCCTCCCACTCCTCTGCCCTATCTAGAGTTTGTCTATTCCTCCCATGCTCCCTCTCTCCTTACCCCATTATGGGTCAGTCACCTTATATCAGAGAAAACATCCAGCATTTGTTTTTTTTTGGGGGGGGGTTGGCTAACTTCACTTAGCACTATTTTCCCCAATGCCATCCATTTACCTGCAAGTGCCATGATTTTATTCTCTTTTATTGCTGAGTAACATTCCATTGTGTATATACACCACATTTTTTTTTTTTATCCATTCATCCACTGAGGGGCATCTAGGTTGGTTCCACAGTTTAGCTATTGTGAATTGTGCTGCTATAAACATTGATGTGGTTGTGTCCCTGTAGTATGCTGTTTTTAAGTCCTTTGGGTATAGACAGAGGAGAGGGATAGCTGGGTCAAATGGTAGTTCTATTCCCAGTTTTCCAAGGTATCTCCATACTGCTTTCCATATTGGCTGCACCGGTTTGCAGTCCCACCAGCAATGTATGAGTGTGCCTTTTTCCCCACATTGGGAGGCAGAAAACCTTAATGATGTTTAAACTGTGACCTAAAGGATATAAAGGAACTAGCAAGGTGAAGAATTTGGAGAAAGCATTCAAACAAAAAAGAAAAAAACCTATTTGGGTCCCTGAGCTTTTCATGCTCTAAGAATGATCCAAAGGCCTGTTAGATCAGGAGAATGGTGAATGAGAGGAATGGCAGGAAGCAGGAATCTGCAGGGCAGTGACAGAACATGTAAACATCTCATTTTTTTTGTGTGTGTGTTTTTGTTTTTATATGATCATTAGAGAATGGATTAGAAGAAGGCAAAAGAAGAGGCAAGAAAAGTTAGAATGGTATGGTAGCATTCCAATCAAGTGAGGATGATGCCTTGGATTAGTGCTATAGGGAGAGCAGAAATTAGCAGAAGACAGTGTGCTGCAGATACATTATAGTAATAGAACTGACAGGACCAATTATTATACAATAAATGGACAGTTAATCCCTGAGTTTGTGTTGGGAAAAAGCCAGACAATAGATAATTGGTTTAACTAGATAGGCTCACATCACACTGACCTTATTTGCAATAAATTGGCCAAACCTGAAATCTGAATTAAATGGGCTAATCATGTTCATATATTAAAAAGTTACTTTCTGGGCTGAGGTTGTAGCCCACTGGTAAAGCACTTGCCTGGCCCATGTAAGGCACTGGGTTCAATCCCCAGCACCACATAAAAATAAATAAATAAAAATAAAGATATAGAGTCCCATCTACAACTAAAAAAATTTTTTTAAAGTTACTTTCTGAGTCCCTTTATTATTATTAAGATCAACATTACTAAGCTCATTAAAAACTCCAACAGCAAAAGAGGTACAAATTTGAGACCTAGGGAATAGGTTGGGAAATAAACTCTGGTCCTAGTAGCACAGGAGTATTAAGTAATTGTCTCTAACATCTATACAGTACTTACTAAGTGTCTATGTACTTTTTATATATGATCATGTATTCCTCAATAAATTTGAGGAAGCACTATGTTATACTCATCACTCCCATGTTGCAGATGAAGAAATTGAGACAGGGAGAGCCACATAACTAGTAAGTATCTGAGTCAGGCTTTAAATTCAATCCATCTCTAGAATTCATGCTTTTAACTATCACCTATGAATTGTTCTAAAAGCAGAATCTTTATCATCAATTTTGTCTTACCTAATTTTACTCATATCGTCGAACTCTTCCTAAGGTAAGTCCACAGACCAACTATTTTATACATTTACTATATGAGACACACAATCAATGGACACTTGTACTAAGAAAAACTGTTTTGGCCAAGAAATTTTAAATTAAATTCATAGCTGAGAATGAATTTACTCACTTTAGTTGATATTTCAACCTCTTCAGATATGAATACCTCTTCAATCTGGACTGCATCTCTGGGAAAAAACCCAAAGTTCTTTCCTTTCTATCAAAATGAAGAACAAAAATTACCAAGGAGGAGTGATCAAAGCAATAATAACTATTGAGTTTGATTTTATACCATGTCCTTGGCTTTTATCTAAGTCAAATCACAAAACATTAATTGGCTATCAAATACCATCTAAAAAATGAGTAAAACCATATTCTTTTATTATTCAAAAGAATAACATTAATTTAAGAACACACTGAGCCAAACTCTAAAATTCTACTGTTTCAAACAAAAACTGCACCATATAATCATACTTTCCTCCTCTCTCTCTCTTTCATTCTCTCCCTCTGTTCTTTAATGATCTTGTTGAACAGGTCAACCATAGATTTACACTAGTAGATCTGGAATATCAAAAGGCAAGACAGTGGCGGCAATAGCCATGGTAGACAGAGCTGTGACATAGTCAGCATTTTCAAGATGTAATGCTCAGGGAAGAGCCACAGATAGATTCATGAAAATAGTAAAGGCCCAGGAGTCATCAAGATAAGATTTAGTCCAATTCAACTTCCCTGGGATTGACTTGGTAACAGAGATTCTCTTAACCTGGTTAAAGCACATGCAAGATGTTGCCCTTCTAGAAATGTCAGTGTACTAAGAGTTTGCACCAAATAAAAAAAACTTACTTGCTTTGGTCCTCTAATTCAGCACTGTTACAATAAAAGTGTCTCCCAGTTGTTATTTTATTTTTCATAAAAACGCATGAACCTTGCTTCCCTAGACTACCAACCTTTCTGATGATCTTTTCAAAAACAACTCAACCTTTTGTTTAGAAAAACAAGATAATCCCATTAACTAAAACTTCCCAGTCTCTCCCCAACTTGACATGGCAACACTAACAGATAGCTGGAATTGCCTACCCACCCCATAATCTACAACAGCACCCCTAAAGTCTCCCCAAATAAAAATAAAAGCTAAGTTTAAAATATATGCATGTTATACAAAAAATAATTTCAAGACATTCTCTTTGTCTTCCATCTCAATCAGGCTATCTTTCCAAAAGCCTCTTTTATGGAAATATTGGAACCACCAATGAACATAACCACTTTTGTTTGTTTAAATATTAGGGGCTTTTAATGTTTTTACAATACTTTGAAATCCCAGAGTTCCTTTAAAGGCAAAAAAGAAGCATCCTTGTCTAAGTTGGTTATTTATTCTGTATTCAGTTCATAAGTCTGGTTACTTACACTTCCTGCCCACAAATCTTCTCTTTGTCCTGCAAGTTTAACATAAACAGATATTTCTTCTCCCTTAGTGAAGTTCAGGAATAGGCAATCAGGTCCTGTGTAATCTCTCATGGCTACAACTCTGCTTATTAAAGCTATGTAAACATAAAAAGAAAAACATACTTTAAATTAAAATGTTATTTTTCCTTCTTCCATTTTGCTCTCCTCTAATCCATTCTATATATTTACAAATGCTAATTCTTTTATGTCATTTATGGTCACAAAAACCTATATACATTTCCCACAGCACACAGCCTCAAACCCAGGTGTTTTGGCTTGGTATTCAAGGACATCCATGATCTAGTCCCCCTTCCCTATTTAAAAAGATCTCCTTCCTATTACTTTAAAACACAGACTTAGGGCTACAATCAAGGTTATAAAACTGTTGTCCCTGGAATATTTCATTACCATTATCCAATCTGCTGAAAAGGAAAGTTAGTTTTCTTTCTTGTACCTACTATATTTCCAAACATTATGATAACCACTTTCATTTTATTTATTAAATCCTCAAAATAGGTCTGTAAAGAAATCTTGGTCTAACAAGTGAGCCTTTAGTTAAGGCTTAGAGAATTAGTCATACAACTCTGGTGGAGCCAGATGTGCATCGACATTCCCTCCCTCCCTCCCTTTCTTTCACTGCAGCACCACCTGTCTTATTCTGAGCTTCTATTTCTGCTCTTGGATCAGCCTAGAAACCCTCCCAAGCTGGCCATGGTGACATACACCTGTAATCCCAGCAACTCAGAGGTTGAAGCAGAAGGATCACAAGTTTGATGCCAGCCTCAGCAGCTAAGGGAGACCCTCAGCAACTTAACTAGACCTTGTCTCAAAATGAAAAACTGGGCTAGGGTTGTGGCTCAGTGGTAGTGCGCTTGCCTAGGATGTGTGATGCACTGGGTTCGATTCTCAGCACCACATACAAATAAATAAAGGTCCATCAACTACTAAAAATTATTTTTTAAAAAATTGAAAGGGCTGGGAATGTGGCTCAGTGTCAAAGCACCTGAGTTTAATCCTTGAATCAAAAAACAAAAAAAGAGGGGGCTGGAATTGGGCTCAGTGGTAGAGTGCTTGCCTAGCACGTGTGCAGCATTGGGTTCAATCTCAGCACCACGTATAAATAAGTAAATAAAATAAAGGTCTATCAACAACTAAAAAATATTAAAAAAAAAAGAAAGAAAGAAAGAAAAATTCTTCTCTATCTCTACATGCTTCACTCATATCCTAATTCCTCTCCAAGGCAGTCCTAATCATTTAGCCTATCTGATTTCCCTTTCTCTGATCTTCATCATTCTATGTATTTACAAATGCTAATTCTTTTATGTCATTTATGGTCACAAAAACCTATATACACTTCCCACAGCACACACCCTCAAGCCCAGGTGTTTGGGCTTGGTATTCAAGGACATCCATGATCTAGTCCCCCCTTCCCTATTTAAAAAGATCTCCTTCCTATTACTTTAAAACACAGACTTAAGGGGCTGGGGATGTGGCTCAAGCGGTAGCGTGAGCCCGGGTTCGATCCTCAGCACCATATACAAACAAAGATGTTGTGTCCACTGATAACTAAAAAATAAATATTAAAATTCTCTGTCTCTCTCTTTAAAAAAAAAAAAAAACAGACTTAGGGCTATTACCCTTATTGTGTTATATCACTATTTACTATTTCATATTGATATGTCTTGTTATCATTAAGTAGAATGAATATGGGTAGGCAACCACCTACCCCCCAGACCCAGCACACAGTAGACCCTCAGTAACTATGAACCATAACTACATATGCTAGAATCATACAAGGCAGTATGCATGCATTAACTATCATAATGATATTAACATGTAAAATTTTTAAATATTTTTTTTAATTTTTAAATATTTTAAAGCCATACAATTAAAGTTAAAATAACCTTATAACTTACTAAATGTTGGAGTGTACTTTTTTCATGTTCTGTCAGGCCCCAAGGATACTAAAATGGGTTATATTACAGCATAAATAGGGGAAGAGGGTTTATTATTATAATATGCTATTTAATATACTTCTTTGCATATTAAATTATTTACCCAAAGCTTGAGAAAAATGTTTACTCATAAAAATTTTACTTATAAATTATTCATGTTTACATTAATAATATTTTGCACTGCTAAAAATATGTATGTTGCAAATTGGACATAAATCACATATTGGAAAGAAAGACTTTTCAGCAACTATACTATATGAGGATTCATTTATTTTAAACATAATGCTAATAACACAAAAAATAAGTTCTCAAACAATAAAATGGAAATTAATTTTTCCTCACAGTAAATCAAAAAAGTTTACTGGTATTTAATAGTATAAAATTAGGGGCTGGGGATGTGGCTCAAGCGGTATCGCGCTCTACTGGCATGTGTGTGGCCCGGGTTCGATCCTCAGCACCACATACAAACAAAGATGTTGTGTCCGCCGATAACTAAAAAATAAATATTAAAATTCTCTCTCTCTCTTAAAAAAAAATAAAGTTATATTTATATTGTAAGATTTACTTCAATACTTTTATATAATAAATACAGAAATGATTAATATTTGATAAAGTTTAGACAGATTTTTTGAAATAAAAAGTTTTTTATTTTTATTTTTTTTTAACTATTATTTTTTTTTAGAGAGAGAGAATTTTTTAATATTTATTTATTTTTTTTTAGTTTTCGGAGAACGCAACATCTTTGTTTGTATGTGGTGCTGAGGATCGAACCCAGGCCGCACGCATGCCAGGTGAGTGCGCTACTGCTTGAGCCACATCCCCAGCCCAATAAAAAGTTTTTTAGAAAATTTATGAGACTCATATGAAATAGAAACTAAATAGTAGAAATTTTATAAATAAAGAACTATCCAACGGCCTGATGTCTTTTTTATTCAAATCAATTATATTTATCTTTTTAAAAGAACTGATTGATTTGTGTTTGAGGTATGGATTTCTATTATTTAACTCTGATATACTTCTGTATCAATCTGATATTTGTCCTTTGTATGCTTATATTAAATATTATTAAAAAATGCTTTTCTTCCAGAATTTTTCTTTTATACTGGGCTATACTTATAATTCAAATATTTCACAATTATATTAAGGTTCATTTTTTATCACAAATGCCCACAAAAAACATTTATGTGATTTCAGAGCCTCAATTTAAGAGTAGAATGAAAAGAAAAATGAACTTACTTTCACATTCCAGGTCACCACATTTTTTAAGTTCTGCCAGCAGTTTTGTACCCTCCAGACACTTTGTCAGTGAAATAACCAAAAGAAGGATTCTGTGAACAGCAAGTTCCGCCATGCTAAAACAAGAAACCAGGAATTCCAAATGAGATCTAAACCAGTTATTTAGGTTGTAGACAAGCCAGCCAAAACAGGAGATATTCTACTGTCTTCATTAAACAGCAAAGATCTTTTGGTTTTTAGTCCCCTGATAGCTACATTTTTCTATCTGTAAGTTTAACTTGAGCAAACACTGTGTTCTCAATCTGTGGTATCCAGATAATACGTAAGGCTTAATAATTAACAGAGGATTGTAGTTGGACTAATGTCTCATAAAGGCAGCCCATGTACAACAGTCTCACTTAAAGTTACCTCACATTTGACAGGACGGTTCTCAAGCGGACCTTCACAAAAACAGTTACAGTCTTTGGGTAGATTAGTCAACAAGTACAAACCAAGTATTTGCTACATGAAAATCCCAGCATCAACAGACAAAGTATATAGTTTAAGTAGAAACAGCAATATAATGAAAAGTATCTGAAAAAAAATTCTATTTTAATATTTTAAAAAGCTCTTCAGTGTTACTATGAAACTATAACTGTGTTTAGCTAAGAGTAATATTTAAAATGTAGTAACTATTCACTGTTTCATGTACCATCTTAAGTATGTAGATATATGATCTGATTTAACCTATATCAACTCTATTGGGTAGGCAATATTATTATCTCCATATTTGCATATGAGGGAATTCAGGCACATAGAGACAGGAAGTCCCAATGTCATATAGTACATGGAGAAGAAATTTAAACCTAGGCATTGTGATACTTCACACTGGTAACCATGGTGATTTACCACCAAGAATCAAGCTGTGGAAAGATGTCTACTTAGTTTATAACAATACTACTGCAGAAATAGCAAGAAAAGTACTATTCTGTGTGTTTAAAATTATATGCAGGGCTGGGATGTAGCTCAGTGATAGAGCATTTGTCTAGCATGTACGAGCAAGACTAAGATAAAATGGCTGAAAAATAGGGGAGTACGATTTCAGGTGGCATTCTAATTTTCTATATTGTGTGGCTTTCTTTTTCTAAAATCGGTGAGTATATATCATTTAAAAATAATAATAAATCTGTGAAAATCAAATCATTTGAATATTGCTGTGGTTTAAAAAGAATCAAAGTGCTATAATGAGAATTTTTGTGTAATAAACTGCCTAGATCTGTAGGTGCTCAGGACAGCACTTGTATGACACCACACTCCCCTCTAGTGCTTGACAGAACTAAGACAAATGCCCAGCACCTGAGCAATCTAACGTGAAGGACTTTTGCTTTCAAAATTCTAAAAAAGGAAGTATTTGTTTTTCAAAAATCAATGATAGGTACAAAGCCTGATCTCTCAGAGCTAAGATTTTTACATCCTCTGAAAGAATCTAAAAAGTAGATGCCTGTGGGTTATTTCGCTGGCAACAGAGCACACAGATCATTTGCACACATTCACAAACAAAAAGAAGTGGGTTCTTTCTTTCTTTCTTTTTTTTTTTTTGATACAGGGGATTAAATCTCAGGGGCACTCAAACACTGAGTCACATCCTGAGTCCTAGTTTGTATTTTATTTAGAGACAAGGTCTCACTAAGTCACTTAGCGTCTCGCCACTGCTGAGGCTGGCTTTGAACTCGTGATCCTCCTACCTCAGCCTCCCCAGCCTCTGGGATTACAGGCATGTGCCATGTACCCAGCAGGTAATACCTTTGAAAATCTATAAGCAATGATGCCAAAGACATCTAAAGAAGAATCAAGTTTTTCAGCTTCAAAATTTGGCCCAAGTTTATTAGCATAATTTATATTACCAAGTCCAATATTAAATCAAGAATATCTAGTAATTTATATAGCCTAATTATCCTTGTTATATATTCAATATTAAAAACATTAAGACTAAATTTAGGACTAATTAATCATGTTCTAAATTAAGAACAATATGAGCCCGGTAAAATGTAAATTCATCTGTTGATTGGCCTAAAGGAGATTTGAGTAGAGAAAATTCTTGCTTACAATACCAGCCCAGAGAGATTTGCTCCTACTAGAAATGCTCTCACACTCTTCTATTTAATGCACATGATCTCATTTTGTGTTCAGATCATCATTTAAATATCATTTAACAAGATATTTAAAAGTATGATAGAACAATGTTGATTAACAGTTTCTCACAGAACCAGGTAAAGAAAGGATACATAAAGAGGACAAGCACATTTAGTTGAAAAAGAAAGAAGGCTATTTCACTATAAATAATAGTCATAGTAACTTAGACATATATTACCTAATTGCTGATGTATTTGATAGATTAAATGTAACAATATTCAAATATATAAAGCTAACCCTGAGGAAGGTGTCTTGGTAATAACTCAGCTAAGAACACTGAAAGAATATCCTTCTACACAAATGGAACAGGAGGTAAGAACACCTACCTCATAAAGCAAAAGAATGAATCATCAGAGCTACTCAATAGTATCTTAGCGATAAAATCCCAGAACAAGTCTTCCTGTGGGAACATAAAAATGATCATGAGTGCTTCACTCCTATGCTTGGTGTGTTATGCTCGAATTCGGGACCCCGCTAAAAGACCACTGGAGACCAAGATCGATGTAAACAGCAAAGAAGTATTTATTGTGAGCTACCTTGGTCCTCCGCGTGCACACACAGCAACTGGTGACGCTGAGAGGCCCCGAGCCCAGGGTTTGCAGCAGTTTTATACATTCTTTGGAGAAGGCAGGGACCCCCACATACATCATAGCATCTCTTAGCAAATCATCACACACCGCGGGAAAATCAAATAACAACTCTAAAACATGATTAGCACATTCACTGGCGGGAACAAGTTGGGTAAGGGGTATTCATTTGAACTGATTGGCTTAAGCCAAGAGGGGTGTTCGTGCTGAACTACAGGGTTTCTCAACACCATAGGGAGGGGTCATCTGGCATCCCAGGTATTTCCCTGTCTCATGCTGATTGGTGGCTGCTAGGGGGTTGCTATGGATCCCCACCTAGCCTGACTGAGTCAGGGACACCTGGCACAGCAGATCTCTCCTGTTATTTGTAGATAAACTTAGCAGGGTGGGAATGTGCTTAGGAGTGCTCTGTGGGTTTTTCTAAGGACAAAGGCCATGTCCCTTCCTTGGACAGGCTTTGCTCTGAGATAGAGGCTGGTTTTTCAGGTGATGTTATTATTTTTTTTTTAAGTTGGCTAATTTTATGGTATAGATTTTTTTCCTTTTTATTGGTGCATTATAATTATGCATAAAAGTTGGATTTGTTGTAATATATTCATATGTGCACACAATAAAACAGCATAATTTGATCAATTTCATTCCCTAGTACCTCCCCTTTCCCTCCTTCCTTGCCCCAATCTCCTTCTTCTATTCTATTGGTCTCCTATTTTTTAAAAAATTTATTATAGATGACACTAGAATGCATTTTGACACATATACACAAATGGGGTAGAGATGTTATTTCTGATGTTATTTAGTACCTTCTTATTATTATCTCAAATTTCCTAAAATGGGAAGATAGTTCCATCTGCCCACCATTCTGGCAATTTATAAGACAGAATTTAATTAGAAAGTACTTGGGATAAGATGAACTGATTAAGCTGGGGGGCATTACTAGGGATGGTAGGAATGGGGCATGAGAACATTCCTTTGGAAACAATCCCCATGGCAAATAGGTGTGCACTGAGAGATAAGGCCCAGGAGGGACTGAGATTCAAACTGATGTGGAAGACATGAAAACTGCCCCCCAAACCCCTCTTCAAGGTGGGACTTCTTCCCTGATAAGGGGAATACAATTAGCAGACTGTTTCCAACTGGTAGGTATGTCAAGGTTGGCCTCAGTGCAGTGACTTCCCTTACCCCAAATTGCTCCGTCTTAGGTGGTCTAATAAATCTATTGAGTAAAGGAGGGAGTGAAAGGCATGGTCATTTCAACCTAATGTGGGAGAACCTTCCAGATATTTTTCATCCAGAGCTTCCTGTTGGGTTGACTGAGATTTTGCAGGTCCTATTTTGCAATTTGACTTCCCCCTTTACCCTTTTCTCCCCTTTCCTCTCATTGATCCCTTGAACCCAATCTCCCTCTCAGCATCTGCTTCTAGAGTGCCTAACCTCAGAAGCTGTGATCCACAGGCACAAAAAGAGAAGCAAACAGAATGTGCAGTTTGTCTTATCATTTATCTTAGTCATTCCATGACTCTCCTTGTGTTTGTTGTTTTGTGTTGCTGAAGCCCATGTTGCAATTCCACACACTTTCTTCATTCAGTCTGTATCAATCAGAGTTCCTCTAGGAAACAGATCAAAGTTCAATTTTGAGAGATGGCACATGTCAGTGATGTGGAGGAGAATTTAATGAAGGAACTGATTATAAAGGTATGGATAGGGTTAAGAGAAATTGACAGGGATGTTACATCCCTAGGCATGAAAGAATGGTGACCCCTGCCTGAGGAATACAGGAGAGGGTTGCCCATCAGGAACTTTAAGCCTTTAGTAAAGGAACTCAGGAGAACCTCACTCTGCTCTGACTTCTGATCTCCTGATGGTGCCTCCCAGTGACCAAGCCTAGCCAGATATCAGTGAAGTAGTTCTTAAGGTCTGTGTTCCAGGACACAGTAGAGGGCAAAGACTGAACAGTAGATTACGAGGAACAAAAAGAGAATACTTAACATATTGTCATTTTTCCTTACTATAGGTTTTATTTTATTTTAGTGTAGGGGATGGCTTCATATACACTAAACAAGTGGTCTACCATTGAAATATACCCCCAGCCCTACTATGTGTTTTAAAATAATAGAATGTAACATCCTTTACAATCAAAACGATATGTGTGTGCCAATCAGGGAACTGAATTGATCAGTTTTTCAGTAGGTAGGAAAGAAAATTAATGTTTTTTGAGAATCAACTTTGAACTGGCGAGCTTACTTTTTCTCAAAGAAACCCCACACTCCAGGAAGAGCAGGTTGAATGCCCATAGTGTGTCAGTCACTCTCTGAGGGACTGGAGATACAGGAATGAACAGGACAAAGTTCTTGCTCTC